CAATACTAAGATACAAAACCACCTTGAAACTAAGAATTGATTTTAGTTTCATTGCACGCTAACGCAGCAGCACTGTGCGAGGACAAAAGGTCTTTCAAAGCTTCCATAGCGAATTTGTTTTTTTGTTAACACACAAGACATTTTGTTGCTTACCATGGCCGGTATGTGGAACCGAGGCACCTCTGTGATAACGATCTTTTCTGTCTGTTGGTCTCTGCTGCTAGCCGTTCATATTCGACAGGGTCTTTCGATTATCTTATGGTCGTTACGATTGAATGATTGATTGATTAGCGCAGGAACTTGGGATCCAACTTCTTCCGCCCGCTCCACCCCTTTACTACCCTGATTGGGTACCTTCTATTCAGATGTGCGCCTGTTCACCACCTCTCTGTGGCCGTCATTCGTCTTCACTCCGTATATTTCTTTCGAAACCCTTGGTTAACGTTAATTTACGAAAATGAAAACGATCGATTCACAAAGAAAGGAAACTTTCTGCGCCCATAAGCAGCCTTTGTTCCACTGTCTGAGAAATCTGCAGGCGACCTGGTGAGTTTCTTATGTTTTTGAGTTGCAACAATGGCAGCCGATTAGCGATTCATAGACGGAGACAGCGCAAATATCTGCACATTTCTTTTTTGTCATGCGTTCCAACATGTGCGAGAGGCGACTGGCATTGCATAGTGCATTTAGTGCTTAATGCGGCATATACACAGATAATGGTCATTCATTCTTCACAGGATGAAAAACGTGACGAAACGCGACCGTGATCCCGAAGTCCCCTATCCGCCTATGCAGTTCCTGTGTTCCCTCCATATTTCCAGTTATTAAATTACAAATCAATAATTGTCTGATCTTGTTGCATGCAGCTCAATAATTTAAAACGAATTTAGGTATAGTAAAAACGCTCCAATTCCGGGGGTTTGGAAAAACGTCGTTTTCGTCTAGAATGATGAAGACATAAGTGTACAGACTGCTGCTCATAGTCGAAACAACATGAGCGTTGCAAAGGATTTATATGACAATTTTGAAGCATTACACAAAGTAGAGCAAATGTCATGAGTGAAATACGACTTTATTCAAATTACACGCGACGCAGGACCACGGTTTCAATGGATGTCTGAAAACGAGGCTTTCAATAGCTATTCCACTCTTCCAAGAATATGGTTCTTGTTGGAGTTTTGTCATCATCATCAAAAACTAGCAGAATAATCTATATTTATGATATCTGACCGTAAGAAATGATGAAGAATACCTTGGAGATACACCTTCTTGATCATCAAAAGCAATGACTGAGCAGTTTTCTTCAAATATCTAATAAGATGAAGCCACTCATACGGTAAACGATCCCAGTCACAAAGGGGATAGGTCTTTTTTCATGTTTAAACTGCAAGGGAAATAGAGTAGAAAACGATGAATCACTGAAAGGTGCGGTCTGTCAGA